CATTAGTCAGTATTTTTTTAAAACGCAAATATTTTGATAAATATAAATTTTAAACAAAAATGACCGGGTCTTCCCCATAGAGCTCAATATTGTCTTTGCACTGATATAAAAGCTGAAGCGAAAAATGCTTTCTCCTCGTCTAAAAATGCAAATTCCTTCGAAGAATGAACGATTAATTAAACACTAAACAATCACTTATTTTAAAAAATATTGTGTGTTCCCCACCCTTAAGGGTCCCCAGTAGCAGACCGAAAAATGAGCTAAATAGATTTTTATTTTACGGCCGTAATTTCAACATTGAAAAAAAGATCGACATTTCAATTGATAGATTATGTCTAAATCTCTGGGGAACACACAATATTTTTTTTTAAATAAGTGATTGTTTAGTGTTTAATTAATTGTTCATTCTTCGAAGGAATTTGCATTTTTAGACGAGGAGAGAGCATTTTTCGCTTCAGCTTTTATATCAGTGCAAAGACAACATTGAGCTCTATGGGGAAGAACCGGTCATTTTTGTTTAAAATTTATATTTATCAAAATATTTGCGTTTTAAAAAAATACTGAATAATAAAATTAAATTGAAACTAGGCAACTCTATTTACAAAGGATTCGTTTCCATAAATGGTTGAGTTTGACACAGCAGGGAGCTTTGCCGACCGACCCTTTCAGGTAATCCGTCCAGGTACTTTCATAAACCGTCATAAACAACGGGCGGAATTGTGTTTCATACGCTAGGTCCAGCGCTGTCGCGGCGATACTTTGATTACAAATATATTTTTATTTTGGACTATATCAACATAATATAACATTTCAAGATCACAAATCTGTGGTCCTGTGTTTGAAAAATTAAAAGGGGCATCAAGTATTATTTTTTTAAGTAATATAGTAATATAGAAGTAGTTTTTTAACAAGCTGTAAACACTCCTAGCGACGCACTGGCTACGACCTTGTGGACCAGATCAAAGCGTGCCCGCTACTCGGCGTAAAACACACCTTGCTTCAACTGGGGAATTGCATCCATAAGATAAATTTCCGCCTACTGGTCATAAAACTCATAAATACTTTTAGCTTACGAACATTGTTGAAACTCTTTTACAAGTCGACTTCTTTCATTGCTAACATAATTTGAATTAAAAGTATGCAAATTTTTATAATTTTATACATTCTTCTAAAACATTTTCTTACAAAAAATTATTCCAGTAGTTTTTACTAATCTGTCATTCTATATATAAATCAATACACAAAACTGGCAAGATTTAGATTCTCATCACTTCACTAACCACTTATTTACCTGAACAATCATATTTATTTAAATTTAATTTTTTGATACTCTTTTCCGCACCACCTATGAGGTAGAGTATTATAGGCACGTTTTTTACGTGATATCTCCAGTAAACCTATTCCAATATTACTATTTATTCCTGTGCGTGTTTATAGTAGAAGGGGAAAATATTTATATGTACTACACATGACGCGAATGCAAATAAAAAATTTTAATTGTACAATCTTTTCTTTACAATTTGTCTAATGGGTTGATTTGTTTAATAACGAGAATCTACTCTCTCCACAAGTAAGGCATAAAATAAAATTTTTCTCTCTATCTATTTCGCTCTATCATATTATTTTCCCAAAATTTATCATCCCGTTGAATTAAGCATTATTTAAATTGGACATTTTATATATTTCTAAAATGGCGTTTTTGTTTATGAAGCCGTCTGGCGATGCCGCTAAAAATGTACAAACCGCATTGTCTTACTGTCAGTTTGGTGTTACTGCAAAATGCTTCAGTTGCTCTTGCTTCATTTTCTATGCAAAGATTTTGGGAGAGTACATGCTGAACTAGATTTGCAGGGATGTAAAATGTTTTTCACACTACAGTAGGATTAGCCGTGTTACTTGTTCTCTCATTTTGCAAATTTTACCAAAATAACGTTCGGTTAGTCTAAAGGATTTTTCTGCGCACCATTCTGGATTATTGCGCTCGCAAATTGTGTTTTGTTCGATTAAAAAGACATCAAGGTTTGAAAGTTTTTTGAGAAATACTTTTTGCGCTGTGACATATCAGGTATTTCAACTGCCTCGTTATTAGATACATCATCGTCGCCCGAGAACTTGTATGATCCAGAGACCGGAGCGCGCTCAGGCCAATGTCGACTCTATAAGCCTCCAGAAATTCTGCGGGAAATAGTTATTATTTAGATGCTTTTGTTTACACACGTCTCACATGTTTCACTCGACTTTGACACTCAACTATTTTTTTTGTTTAACTAAGAATTAATACTTTCACTGCGTTTGATACTAACGTCCTAAATTAGCAATACTAGTGGAACAGTAATCAAGCAATGGATTTTTTTGGGAAAGTACAGTTAATTTTTATGTTTTAGCAGCAATGTGTTCTATTTTCTATTAATTTTTAGGTACATATTTTTAGTCACAATTTTGGTAGTTATTTTTTACTTTTATTTTTAGCAATAACAAATAGTCCAAACATGAAAAAATAAAAAAAAATTAAAATCGGAAAATCTAAAATTTAGAAATCGAGAAATTGAACAATCGTATAATTGAAAACTCGAAACATCGAAAAACTGGAAAATCGAAAAATTAAAAAAAAATGGAAAATCAGAAATATAATGAATTCCGAAAATTGAAAAACTGAAATATGCATAGAAGAACTAAAAACTGGAGAAATCGAAAAATCTAGAATTTTAAAAATTGAAAAATTAAAATATCGAAAAGTTGAAAAATTGCGAAATCGTATCAGTGAAACATCGGACAATTGAGAAATCGAAAAATAAGAAAATGGAGAAATCGAAAATTTGAAGAATGGAAAAATTGAAAATGTCAAAAATTAAAATACTGAAAAATTGAAACATCAAAAGTTGAAAAATCGAAAAACCGAAAAATCGAAAAATCTCAATAATTATCTCAGGATTATGCTACTAAAAAATTGATAACATCATCTCAAAATTTTGCTGAATAAATTCTACAAAAAATGTGCAAAATATGATGAGTTTGTAATTGTAATTTATCATTGCGTTCATATTTTTTTAGATTTGCTTATATACCTAGATGGCTCAAAAAATTAATGAATGAGTCAATTTATTCTATTGATTAAATCAGTCTCGATTCACTCCATTTTCCCATAAATTTTTGGAATACTGTTATTTTTAGTCTAATCCACATTGATTTACGTGTCGTTGCAAAATGTTGATGATTTCATCACAAAATTGTGTACCTAAAGTAAAAATTTAACTCGAAAATGCTGGATATGTTTCATTGTATTTTAGGGGCGAGGGAAGTTCTGTCGAAACAACTTTCCACCAATTTTTCTTGCTGTTATATTTGAACATAAACAGTTTATTTTATATCTTTTTAAAACATTATAAAGAAAATAAAAAGTTGTGTTAGACTGAACCTTGTGGGTTTCTCAATCTATTTTCCGCATTTTAAACTTTCAACTCAATTTCTCTCAAAATAGATAGAAATGGATTTCGATGGTTATTTCCCTGTACCCTTCATTCCAAAATAAATAAGCTTATCTGGTGTTGTTTACCGATTTGCATTTTATGACGGACTCCCTACAGTGACCATAATCTCTCCTCTCTTGGGTCGCTACCTGCCGTGCATCCGTACTTTGGGTTGCATAGTTACAAAAAATAATTCTTCTCACTGAAACCGATTTTGCGGCCGACGACTGGGGACCCTTAAATACATTTGCAGAACTATCTATATTTACAACATCCGGTTTAGAGACCAAGAATTCCAGTAATGCGCCTAATTGAGGGTGCCAATAAATGAAGTCTTGGAAAAACCCGTCCGCGTTACTAGAAAAGCTCGGTACTTATTTACCTGTATATTGGCAATAACCAACTGTATTAAAATTAAAATTTTCACCAATTACCACGAAAAATGCAGCAACAATTTTCAAATATGCATAAAAATGCACTTAACATTAAAATATGCAATAAATGTCAAAAAATAGTTAAATATGCATTTTTCATATTATCGGAGCTTTATTGATAAAATATAGAAAAAAGAAATTGTGTAGTCCTTTTACGCAATATCTAACGCTCCTGACTATATTTTATCTCGACTAACGCCTCATCGTTACACAAATATCATTTTGACTGATGTTTAATTTTTCAGACCGGTACCATGGAAGTTGGACTTATTCCTATGATCCGTTGTGATGATTCTGCTAGGAATAAACCACTTTTTAAATGTTCAGTTGGCAGAAGAAACGGGCCTCCCAGAGTGGGTACAGACCAATGCCAAGTGCGATTAGCAGCCTGCATGGGCTTTTTCGTCGTCTTTTTGCTGAAGCACACAGTCTTAACCATTAACAATTAGTTAACAAATTTATTTAATTAGCTAAATAAATATACATATTGAAGATATTCCTGTACAAGGAAGGTAATTATTACAATAATTTTTTCTTGGTACAATTTATGGAAACAATTTTTTTTCCTAGATTTGGTCGAAACTATATTCTTGCATCAGCGCAATAAGACCAAAGGAAATTCCTAAGGGAGACTGTCAATTTTTTTTTCCGAAACAACATCGTCCAAAAATATGCAATAAGAAACAATTGTAAGACAGAGGCAGCAAAAATCGTTCCAAAATTTGTCAGACGAATAAAAACCAAAATTCTGGTTGATTTAAGGCCTGCAGGTATGCATAACTTTGTGAAATATGTAATGAAAAAAAATTGTGTAAAGCTTTTGTGAAATATCTCGCAGTCTTCACTATATTTTGTAACACGCTTCTTAGTACAAAGAACTTTTTTCCAGCTTTTCCATTGAGGCATGCAGTGTTAACTGTAAAGCATTAGTTAACGCATTTATTTAGCTAAATATATAATAAGATAAGTTTAACTATTAATGAATACTGCCCCAGAAAGAATTTTTTTCAATATTTGACCACCGAAACTAAATTTTGTTCTGGAAGACGAAGATTCGCATCAAACAAGATTGACGCTATTCAATCCTTGCCGGGGAGTCATGACATATCACAGTAAGTATACTTTTAGAAAAATTTGTCCTTTGTACACTGATATTTTCGTGTTACAGTTTATACACTTTCCCCTTCAAAATCAGCTGTTTACTAAAATAAGGATTGTGATTTAAATTTGAAAATCGTGGAACTATTTTAATGTCGTCAGACTTTAAATTTCAGGAGTCGTCTTTTCAGTTTTAATTTCGCGATTAATTTACCATTGAACATTAATTAATTGTTTGAAGATTCAGGCGTACGGGAATCAAGAAAGCAAGTTGATTATTTTAGCTGGCAACGATGTCCAGGTCATCGTCAAACTGTTGAACCCTTCGTCGCGTTCGCCCCTAGTCAAGGCCGTCATCGGCCTCATCAGAAACCTAGCGCTGTGTCCGGCCAATCACGCTCCGTTGAGGAAACACGACACACAAAAAAATCTGCAGGTATGCATCACATTTTTTTATTTTATACATATTTCATGTTTTTAATTAAATGTAGAAAAAAGAAGTTGTACAGTGACTTATTGTTCTAACTTTCCTCCTCAGTCTCTCAGGGTCACCACCAAAGTTCAGACGACCTCCCCATGCCCCCCGCCAAGGAGCAAACCCTAATGTGGGCCCAAAACTCTTATTTGACCGACTCCGGTATCCACTCCGGGGCCACAACCCAGGTCCCTTCTTTCAGCGACCAGAGTTACTCCCAAGGCTTCACCCAAGAGCAAGTCGACGAAATGAATCACCAACTCAACCAGACTCGCTCCCAGCGAGTTCGAGCGGCAATGTTGCCCGAAACTCTCGACGAAGGCATCGAAATTCCAACGACTGTCCGAACCCAGCCAGATGCTTAAGCACGCTGTGGTCGATCTGATAAATTACCAAGACGACGCCGACTCGGCCACGCGAACCATCCCCGAGTTGATCAAACTCTTGAACGACGAAGACCAAGTCGTGGTGTCCATAGCGGCGATGCTGGTGCACCAGTTATCGAAGAAACAAGCCTCGGGGCACGCCATCATGAACAGCCCCCAGATGGTGTCTGCTTTAGTCAGGGCGATTTCGAACTCGAACGACTTAGAAACGACCAAAGGGGCCGTCGGCACTTTGCACAAGTTGTCACACCACAGGCAAGGGTCGCTGGCGATTTTTAAAAGTGGGGGGATCCCGGCGCTGGTGAAACTGTTGAGTTCGCCGGTGGAGAGCGTGCTCTTCTACGCGATCACGACTTTGCATAACTTGCTGCTGCGTCAAGATGGGTCCAAGATGGCTGTGCGGCTCGCGGGGGGTTTACAAAAGATGGTCGCGCTGCTGCAGCGGAACAACGTCAAGTTCTTGGCGATCGGTACCGATTGTTTGCAGATTCTGGCGTACGGGAATCAAGAAAGCAAGCTTCTGTGGACTACTTCTCGTGTGTTGAAGGTAAGTTCGTGAAGGTTCACCAAGATCAGCTACAGAGCGATTTTTCTCTAGGTGTTGTCAATCTGTCCCAGTAATAAACCGGCCATAGTTGAAACCGGAGGCATACAGGAGATGGCCCAGAACGCGGTCAAATTGAACTACGGCATCCAGGTTATCGTCAAACTGTTGAACCCTCCGTCGCGTTGGCCCCTAGTCAACGCCGTCATCGGCCTCATCACCTGGTGCAACTGCTGAGTGCTGATGCGGGCGTTCCAGGACACGCAGAGGGTAAGCGAAGCTCGGTTTAAATTTCGGTGAAATCCATAACGTGTGTTGCAGCCAACAAACGGCGAACTACGCCGACGGCGTCCGAATGGGGGCGCTCCATATATTGCCACGAGAGTCGCACAATCCTGCCATTATTCGCCAACAAATGGTCATACCGATATTTGTACAACTCTTGTTCAATGACGTAGAGAATATCCAGCGCGTGGCTGCCGGAGTCCTCTGCGAATCCCAGCTGACAAAGAAGGAGCGGAAATGATCGAGCAGGAAGGCGCTACGTCGCCCTTGACTGAATTGCTTCATGAGCAAAATGAAGGTATTTTTTTTCCAAAATGTGATTATGTAATTTTTAACTTGTTGATTGAAGGCGTGGCGACGTACGCAGCAGCAGTATTATTTAGCATGAGCGAGGACAAACCTCAAGACTACAAGAAGAGGTTGAGCATGGAGTTGACGAATTCCCTGTTTCGTGAAGAAAATCTGTGGAACCCGATTTACACGTACGAATGAGTTTGTTTCGCAATTGATTTGAAGACAGGTGTGTAAGCGACTCAGTAGTTATCTTTTTTATTTTTGTATGCTCACTACAACACCTTAGCCTTAATTTATGACTTTTTGGCTTGTTTTGTGTTTTTGTCTACATTGTCACACATTTTAGGGCATTTTGATTCTTGACCAGGCGTACAATCCCATGTACGTACAAGGGCCACCCAGCGTCCATAGGAAAAATCAGAGATTGAAAATTTGAAAATGTGGATACTCCCAGAGAAATACAAGAAATATCCAAATTATTGTTCAGCATGACAATTCCACAAACCCAGATTGATAAAAAATAAAAGCACTAAGTCAGTGGAGTACTTATATGTATATTTGCCTATGCTGAAATTATGTTTAGCTCACCCTTAATGTTCTTCAACACAAATAATGAAACCTGTATTTAAGCATTTTATAAAATTCAACCCCTAAGGGGGTGAAATGTGGTGGCTAGATTTGTGTGGGAATATTTCTATTGTAAATTAAAATTTTTACGTGAAAGTTGATATTAGTGCTTTTAAACACAAATAATGAAACACGCATTTAAGCATTTTTCGAGATTCAACCCCTAAGAGGGTGAAAAGTGGTGTCTAAGTTTGAGCAGCCAAGTTTGTATAGGAACAATATTTCTACTATAAAGTGAAATTTTTGCGTGAAACTTGGTATTAATATTCTTCAATACAAATAATGAAACCCATATCTAAAATTCAACCCCTAAGGGGGGGAAATGTGGAAGCTAAGTTTTATGGGAAAATATTTCTATTGTATATTTAAATTTTTACGTGAAACTTGGTATTAATTCTCTTCAACACAAATAACGGAACACGTATTTAAGCATTTTCCGAGATTCAACACCTAAGGGAGTGAAATGTGGAAGCTAAGTTTGTTTGGGATAAATATTTCTATTGTAAATTTAAATTTTTACGTGAAACTTGGTATTAATGCTCTTCAGTACAAATAATGAAATACGTATTTAAGCATTTTCCGAGATTCAGCCCCTAAGGGAGTGAGAAGTGATGGCGAAGTTTGTATGAAAAAACTATTTCTCCTGTAAATTTAAATTTTTACGGGGAACTTGGTAGGTATTAATACTCTTCAACACAAATAATGAAACACGCATTTCAGATTCCATCCCTAAGAAGATGAAAGGGGGTGACAAAGTTTTTATGAGCAAACATATTTTTATGTCGATTTTTACTGGAAATTGTATTAATGCCCTTCAACACATTTTTTACTTGGAGATTGGTAATAATGTTCTTCAACACAACACCCTGCCTATGTGATTCGAGTCGCAAAGTGTCAGTAATTTTCCGCGCCGTCCGACTTGTTAACTTTCAAACCAACACTCAGTGGTACGCATAAGGATACGGGGTTGCCGGTTTTTTAATACATAGTCACTGCTATTGTTTTAACTCTGTGCGCTATGCTGTATAGCTATGAATTTTGAAATTATTTTTATTTACATATATTTTATTATTATTGGTCTGTTACATACTACTATTTGGTCAGATCTACCACAGATCAGGAAAATTGACCAGCATTCAGGCAAGACTTATATCATTACAAACGCAAAGACCAAGACATTGTTGTGGCCTTTACCATTTCTAAGATTATAGAATATAGAACTACAAACTATAACACTAAAAAAATGTTTAATTTTTTTCTGTCAAGTGTAAAAGTAATTAAATTTTACATTTCCACGGCCTATCTAAGTATAATAAAATGCGTGACATATGTATTTGTTCCACATTATGTATCTATTTCTAAAAAATAATTTTTGAAAACACATTGTTCAGGCAAGACATACAAGAAATATTAAAAAAACATGTCTGTATAAGTTTGCGATCGATATGGCCAGTTGTTTAGAATGCTAATATACTTTTGCTCGTATTTACAATTATCACGAAACAGGTTATCAAATAATCCATTTTCACATGGCGAGGCTTTCAAGCAACAGAAGAGTTAAAAACCAACAATTTGCATTGAAGAAACAAACTCTTCCAAGAAAATTGGCCAAATCCTTTAGTTTACGCATTATTGGAAAAGCATTCCTTAAAACGGTCAGTATAATCTCATTATTCCATGGATACCCACCTACTTCCGTTCACTACCTTGCCATCCTGACCAGGCCAACAATATTGTAGTAATAAAACGTTGCCATATGAGTCCAACACAACTGTGCGAATATTTCTAGTCAAATTATTTCCTTTAGCGGCTCTGGTAAATGAATGCGATTATTATAACAAATAAATATGTAATACAAACAAATTATTATTGTTACCTGTAGTTTTAAGTACTTGTCAGTGCTACTGAAAACGAAAAATAAATATGAATAGCACGTGTTTGAAAATTTTCGTAAATGTAATACACACATGATATTTTAACTACTCTTTTGTAAACTCGATTTTGTTACGAATAACTAAAAAAGAAAATGATTTTAAATGCGTTTTCTCGAAATTTTGTTGCGGAAAATTAAAGACAACACACCATTATTAATTATAATAAAAATAATTAATTGCAATAACTTGTACTATGCATTAAAAACACTCATTGTTAAGAAGTAAGTTATGAAAATCAACCATAAAACCTAAAAAAATGTCTACAGCCCAGTGGCGGCTCCTCAGAGGAGGCAGGGGAGGCTGAGCCTCCTCTATTTTTTGGAGCTGAGCTTCCTCTAATTTTTTTCGGTGAAAGAATTTATATTTTTGTAGACATTTGTTATTTTTCAGAATATTTTCTTGGATTTCATTTAATTTCATCATATATCAGGTTAAAATGTCGAAAAAAATTATATTTGCGCCCTCACAATCATAATTCACATTCACACCACTCCGCGTTTGGTTTCAGCGGCAGAGGCTTGCTAGCCGCTAGCCTTCGATCGACGATGCATCTGAATAATGAGACCGTGACCTTGACGCATCGTCAGTGTGCATCGCATTGGCTAAAACGTTCATCGGACTGCCGCTCCAAGCCGCTAGCCTCCGGCTAGTTCATCTCTTTTCAGATCAAGTCGTACAGATAACTTTATCTCTTTCTTATTAGTTGGAGCAATCGGGTGTAAGTAGGAAAAACATTGAGGTGGTTTCGCGAGCTCCCTGTTCAGTGGTGGTGGTGTTTAGGCTTTACGTAGGTAAGGGTACAAAAGAGGAGACCAACACCATCACTCCCATTAATGGTATTGACAGTTACAATTAGAAACAAAACAGAGCATTTCATAAAAATAATTATAATAAAACTAAATAGTTAACGGCTTCGGTTTTAAGAAACAAATTATACTGTTGGAATTGTGTATTATTTATAAGTGATAAATCTTCCGTTTGGGGTAAAACAGGCTATATAATAATTTACAAAATTTGTCACGAGCTATAGAAAGGCATGAAAAAACACAGGAACACATATTTTCTTCGATTAAATGAGAAATGCTTGGTAAGCGAAACATTGCCAATAATTTAGATTCGGCTCATAAAAGGGAGAACTATTACGAGAAAGTTGGTGAAAATTGGGCAATTTTGAAAAGACTAATCGATGCATTTATCTGTCAACGCAAAAGTGTTCTTTTCGTGTGCATGACGAAAAAAATTATTCAGATAATAAGAGATATAAAAAGTAGTGTTTTTCAAATTTGAGCCTCCTCTGAAGAAAACTTCACGAGCCGCCACTGCTACAGCCTTTATTTAAAAATTAAATTAACGCATTGCAATTAAGGCGCAAAGATGCTTCACTGAATTTATTACCAACGCTTTCTCGAGAAAAGTTTGAAATATTAGAATATAAGCGTTTAATGCATTAACGATATAAACACAAGGACAAGTCTTTTTTCTGAAAATAGAGTTACTGCATATTTTGAAGACTTACAAGAATTAAAATACTTCAACGTTATAGTCACATATTATACACTGGCAGACAAAAAACCCGAACACTTGAATATTTGTAAATTTACTCTGTTTAGTGTTAGAACGTTGTTTACTTTTTTCTGTTTCCACATGTTTTAGAATAAAGTTATGTTTTATATTGATGAATACATCATCTAATGATTTACTTTTCGGCATGTTTTTAACAAAAGTTCGACCAACTGCAGGTAATCACAAAAAATCAGGTGTCCTGGTTTTTTCGTCTGGCAATTTAGATAAAACTGGAAATTTTTAAAAATTATTGTTAGATTATTAAATTTGGTCGTAGAAAAAGTAGAGTGTATTACGAGAACACGTGCGAAAACGCTAATTTCTCACTGGTGTGAATTATTTACACTCGTAATTTTTCACGAATGTGAACTTTCAGTAACGGGTTATCGATATGATATATCCTACACATGTAGTTTATGACTCCCTGTTGAGTATTTAACCGAAACGTCTAGATTTTTCGAAAGAAAAATCAAAATTATGAAACAACATTTTGCAATTTAATTTTTGATCTGCAAAATCGAATACTTTTAAATCTTGCAAATGTTTTAAAGTTATGATAAGCATGACCAATTTTTTAATCAAAATATATTTGCTTATCCCCTCCAAATAATTGATGATGTTAGCTCAAAATTTTGCCGAATAACTCCTATCTAAAATGTGCAAAATGTGATCAGTCAAAAAATTTAATGTACACGTAGCACGCTTATTTACATTTACTTTAAAATTATATACATATCTTTATTTCAACTTATATGGGTTCTCATAAAAAATAAAATTCGCAACATTAAATTTTATAATTTTTCGAAAATGTTGGATATATTTCACTGTGCATTGTACATACTTTAAGTGCGAGGGAAGTTCTGTCGAAACAACTGTTGACCAATTTTTTTTATATATAAATTTTTGGGCAATAATCGTTTTCCTTATAATTTAGTGTCTGATAACTTGATAAGTGATGGTCTCTGAAAAATCTTCCCTTTTGAGGGCAGGTCCTATTTCATAACGTCAACGCACCAATCAAACCGTTGCTGGCGAAACTCTCCCTTCCACCCTTGTCCTGCCCTACAAACCCTG